CAGAAAATACTTGATTGATTAACAGTGGGGAGGAAAAGCAGGCAAATTCGGTGCTACATGCAGTCAGATCATTAAGAGGAAAAGTCCACTCGACATCTTTCGCATACATGTACCGCGTAAAATGCCACAATGTAAGGGCTCTGAACTTCAGGTTGACCTTGGTTTTAAATCGCAAGTCTCACTTGTAAGACTTGGTCAGAGTGATCGAAGCCTATAAATCTCCATTTTCTGAAATTTAAATATCACTCACAGTGACTGCTGTGCGATTCTGAACATTATTGGGAATTTCAGGGATAACTTTCAGTGCAGAAGGAGTGAGGCCATTTCTGTTCTTGGGAGAGAAGTGGGGAGAATAGGGTAGTTAGAAGGAATGCAGTATAAGCAGATGCTGTAAAAGGATATGTGAAGAACGGGTCACAACTAGATGAGAGGGGAGGACAAATCCAGGAAGACTTCCTAGAGAAGGAACCATTTGAGATGAGCCTGGAAGGATTAGTAGGATTTCAGTAACCTGGGTGCCCAAAAATTATCTTTAAAAACATAGACTCATCCTGGAAGAATTACCAGAGGATTAAACATCATGCTGAGTTCAATTAAAAATCAGCACTGGAGTGTGAAAGGAACTTCCTTAAGTTAGCAATTTCAGAACAGTCCCAACTCTTGGTTACGTGAGCAGTGCCAGGAACCACTGCGGCCAGCACGGGCTAGTGTGAGGCACCTCCACGGACAGTCAGAAGGGCGGCCTGGAAAAAGGGTTTAGGGATTGACGTGGAGCGACGTGCCACGTGGATGTCCCCCTCAGGGGGTAGACATGAGGAAGCGCCAGCCGCGAGGTCCAAGGACTCAGAATACAGCACTTTGGAACAGGCTGCCTCGCACCTAGGGTGTTTGAGCAAAGCAGAAAGAGACTCTTAGATACAGAGAACACTCTGAGGGGCTCCAGAAGGGAGGGTGTTGGGAGAATGGGTGTACGAGGTGAGGGGTTAAGAAGTACAAACCGCCAGTTGTAGAAACAATCACAGGGACGTAAACTACAGCACAGGGGATGCAGTCAACAGCACTGTAATAACTACGTGTGGGGTCAGATGGGTACTGCACTTCTTGGGGTGATCACTGCACAAGGTGTATAAATGGCTAATCACTATGCTGTATGCCTGAAACTAATAAAATATGGTATGTCAACTGTCATTGGAAAATACATTTTTTAGAAAAAGCTCAGGGCAGAGGAGGGAGGGGACCCACCAGGACCACAAAAGCGTGGGTACAGCCAGTCCCTAGGCCAGCCAGAGCCCTGAATACAGGTAGTTTTTTGGAACAGAACGAACGATGTGTCTTTCACATCCTGCTCTCCTCCTCTCCAAAACCCAGCTCTGAATTGTCGTAAAAGATGGGGGGTGGGGTGAAGGGTAAGCAAAGGAGGAAGAAAAAGAGAAGGATATGGAAAGCAGTTTTAAAAAAAAACCTTCGCCAGAACTCGATAACCCAGAGTACACGGGGACTGGTGCCTGGCGGCGTACAAGAGCCAAAGGCAGGCCAGGGGACGGGTCAACTTAAGACTTAATATTTGCCTTTCACTGAGCAAACTAATAAATCCCCTACAGTTTTAGCCACACAGAGCTCCCAGTTTTTATTTACTGCTCAACATTCGCAGGCAGGTTTCTTTCTTCCCCTCCCAGTCCGCCCAGGCAGATAGGAGGCCTCGCCCCCTCCTGTCATCAGTCTGTATGTCTATTTGCGTTTTCCTTCAACAAAAGCATGTTCGGTGCAACTGACAAGGAGTGCAAACAGCTTTGAAGTATTCTTTGGTAATAATGGACTTCCCGGGACAGCCCTGTTTTTGGCTTGTGCAGCTGAAGGCGAAGGGAGAAAGAACTTGTAAGAGAACAGGCAGACGTCACCTGGGTCAGGCAAGGCTCAGAACTTGATCCATGGGAGGGGCCTTAGGGCACCTGCCTCAAGATCAGCTACCTCCCCTTCCCCTCCCATTTTATAGATGAGAAAACTGAGATCCAGAGAAAAAGCTTGAGTGACTTACACATGACCTTGGAGCAAGCTGAAGCTAAAACAGGACAAGAGTCAGGTTTTCAGGCTCCCCACCTCCCCTCCCTGCCACCCCCTGACCAGTTCAAGGATCTTTCAGACTTAGGCAGGGACAGGCTCCTTTTGTCTGATTTCTCTCCAACAGTCTGGCATGAGAGTCTTGTCCAAGGTCAGTGGCCATTCCCAAGGTCTCCTTTATGCCCTTTAAACCATATCCTCCTGAGCAGAGGGACTTAAACTTCACCATTAGAACCTTCTATCTTTCCATCAATACACAGGTTTCTAGGGCCACTGCAACAGGATAAAAGTCTTCTGTGGGTCAGGTTTCAACACCACAGGAAAATCTCAGCGGGAAGCTTGAACAACACCCTGGGAAAAGGGGACAAGCACTACTTTGAGGCTAAGTTATACTTAGAACGAATTAAAGCAAGATCAGTATGTCCAGCGTGTAGATGAAATAGTTTCTGTGTGTCATGGGCAACGTCTAATATGCTGTTCTCATAGGGAACAAAAAAATAGCAAACCTTTAAGTCACAGGTGGCAAACACAAGGCCTGCAGGCCGAATCCAGCCCTCCACCTTGTTTTATCCGGCCCAGTGCCTTGTTTCTATCTGGTGGCAGCGCCGAGCTCTCCCTTAACTGTTAAGGAGTAGTTACATTTAGACAGTCCTCAAATTACATTTGGCCCTTTGAAGGCAACTGCGAGGCTGATGTGGCCCCCAGTGAAAATGAGTTTGACACCCCTGCTTTAAGCCATGAACTCTTATCAAATACAACAGCTTTGTGGATGTCATGTAACCTGACTCCTTCCTTTTACATGGAAGGAACCAAGAGGAGGGACTTTGAGACAAAAACTCAGGACTCCTTGTCTGCTCACTCTGCTTTTTTTTTTTTATCAGCGTAAGACTTAGTACCTGGATCCGGAAGTGAGAGACTGGTACATGCTGGGGAGAGGTCAAAATGCATTTGGCTCAACATCTCATTCATTAACTGACATGCATGGCTACTTGGAAGCACATGAATTGCTCTTTAAACTTCTGCAGCTTCCCCACCAGGCTGGAGATCAGCAGCCTCTCACAGCCTTCTCCGACCATGCCTACAAGGCTGCCTCCTCCGGGCAGGACGGCCCCTTGCCCGGTGTTGGAGAGGGGATGCTGCATTGTCGGAGGTAGATGGAGATAAGGGTGATGCTTTAGACCACTTCCACCTCTGAGATTTGGGGTTCTTTGCAGATGAGAAGTTAAGAAAAGAGAGAGAAAGAGACGATTGATTGTTGTTGGAACAACAGTGGAACTTCTGGAACCAATGACTATCTGCGGGACACGAATGAAGGAAATTCTGAAATGAGGTCACGGAACAATGGCACCGCAGGAGCCAGGCTTGCATTTCTCCCATGGCAGTGAGAGTCAGAACAGAGGCAGGGCCACGGATGCTCCCGTGCAGGGTGGGGCGGTCTCACGCTTTACCCATGAGTGATGCGAGAGAATAGTTGCTTGATGTCTGTGTGCTCGTCCGTACCCTAGCGGCCGTAGCATATGGGATGAGACGGATGAGATGGATGAGCTGAAGGCCCGTGTCCCAGCACTGCAGACACGCACGGCTGTCTTTCAGCACAAAGAAGGAAGGCCCCATCCCCTGGCAAGCAGCAACAACTTCGGGATGGCATGAATCCCGAAAGCCTGGCTTTGACGAACCTGACGAGAACCTGTAATTTGCCTTCAGGTTGTTCTTACTTGTCATGAACACCTAAAACTGGGCCGGCGCAACCTTCCTCTCCTCAACCCCCACTGCCAGCACCCCGTCCGCTCCTTTCTGCCCTACCACGGCAGCGTCTGCAGAGGCCAGAACGAGCGGGGAGGTCCCATTCCGCACTCTCTGAGTTGGACTCAAGGGTTATCTAGGAGACTTTAGAAAGAAAGTACACACTGAGGCCCAATTTACATGCCCTTGATATTTTAAAGGGTCCTGGAGTTCAAAGACATTTCAGGAAGTCTTCCAGCCAATTCCTTTGCTCTCCAGACACCACCCCAAAGATTTTAGCTCTTAGTTTCTGTCTAGTTAAGAGGTAGAATTTTCTTCCGGGCTCATTATTCTACATAGTATGTACATGTACCACACACACACATACACACACACATATATACCCCCGTCCACGGCGCTCTTCTGAAGGAAATAGTCTCAGCTAATCTTCAATATCCTGCTACCCCTACTGTTCTGGAAACCACTGATTTGGTGAAGACTGGTGGCTGAGCCAATGGCATCCATCCATAGGCTGCCCAGTGGCCAATGATACGACTAGACGCAAGGGTCCTAAATGGAGAATGGCCAAACCAATCACAAGGACCAGCCGGTTACAGAAGGTAAATTAGCAGCAGAGCTGGGATCATCAATTTCCCCAGCAGGGTGACCAGCTGTTCTGGTTTAGCACCGGAAACCCGCATCCCGGGAAAGCCTGAAGTCCTGGATTCCCTCAGCTCATTGCCGCAGGAGGAGTCTAGAACCAGGAGCAGGGGGCCCTGCTGCTGAGCAGATTAAGATGGCCACGGTGGGACAGTTCTGCTCTCCCTGAACACCCTGGATGGCAAGGGGAACTCTTGAATGACTTGGGCTTCCTGGAAAGGTCTAGGTGGGCAGTTGCTGGGTAGACTGTGTCCGACTTCCATGGAAACTTGCAAGAAACAGCATTTAGGGAGGTACGACAAGGTGGGTCTCTTAGTCCTTGAAACCCAAAGGAATCTGACACAACAGGCCCGTCTGCAGGTCAAGGAGGGAAAGTAAAACCCCACAAAGAAGCCTTACACTTCAGTTGCAGGACACCTCCTCCAGAGGTTCCTCTCACCCAGTTTTGGTGAACCTGATATGCCAAGGAAGACCCCACTGCTCCACTGAGAAGACGCGGGAGCCTCTAAATGGTCACACAAACACGTCACCTACAGCACAGGGAAAATACGTATGTCCAGCTTTAATTCTTTCTTACAAAAGCAAGCCATCCATTCGCTTGGGAAACTGGAAGAACAAGCGTGTTTGGCTCTGCATTTTGGACAAGTTTGAAGTGTGATGGATACCTAGGAAGTATTTTCATCCACACGTGTGGCAGCAACAGAGTGAATGAATGACACAAACAGGACTCGAGTTTCATGGGGCCCAATCCACTGTCAGGTGTGTGAGTCATCAGCACATGCTGGAGGAAGAGTTTCCACAATAAACTCCACTGGCCCGGTAGCTGGACAGTCTGGAATGAAGGCCCAAGCTCGGGTGTGGCCCCCAGCTGCCTCCTGAGAGAAGAGGGTCTTCACAGCAGACTCTGCCTCTGTGTCAACACAGCTGGAGTCAACGGCAGGGGTTGTTTGCTGCGCCTGCAGCTGTGCACCCGCGTGTGATCCCAACCAAGGGAGCTGAACACGGGGCCAGCCTTCTCCACCCAGCTCCAATGCCGAAGTCCCCGCCAGCATCCCCAAGAACCTGAAGAACGTCTCTGCATTGATCACTGTCCCTCCGGAAACTGTGCGGCCAAATCCCAAACAGATGAGGAGGAATTCTATTCCCGGCCTGGGCACGGAGGGACGCTTGTACTTTAGAAGTTACAGGAACAAAAATTAAGATCCTGTTTGACCTTGGTGTAGTTAACGATTCACTCTGCATCCGCTAGAAGATAACGGAGCAAACAAGAATTGCTGCACAGCTGACGTGGAGGTGGGGGGCAGAAAAGGGTGTGACGAACGCCCCGGGGTTCCTGCGGGCCGGGGAGGGCAGTTGTAGGAGCCAGCAGCAGAGGTAACGTTTTCCACAGGAAGGAAAAACAAAGTCTGGGATACAGGTGCCTTCTCCAACCACACATCACTCCCAGCGACGAATCTCCCAGCTCACGCAGGTCATCACGTGGACTATTCCCCAATGCGAGGGTCTCGGCTTTCTCCTTAAACGTCTTCTCAAAACCAGAACCTTCTTTGTCCTCCAAAATAAGAATTCTCCACCCAATCCAGAGCTCTTGCTTCTTAAAGAGATGGTCACACCTGAGTCACGTCATTCGGGGGGGACCTGGTGGCACGCCGTGGCTCCACGAAGCTTCCTGGTGGGAGGTGTAGGGAGGAAGGGCGGCCCCTTGCCAATCCTCCTTTCTAGGCCTGTAGACCAAAACACAGCACAGGGGTGAGATTCTGGCGTCTGCTCCTCCAACCGCTGTCTTTCAACAGCGGGCATCGCTTTCCTAACTTTAGTCCACAACATTCTAGCTACTGAAAAGGGCAGACACCACTGCTGAAAGCAGGATTTTTCTTAAGGAAAAAAAAAGGGGGACTGTTTATACATCACAAGCAGCTCCCTGCATGCTGAGTCTTCACACAAATCTCACCTTCACACACTGCACCCAGAGCTGATTAAAAAAAGAAATATTGCTAATGCAGCCAGCCCCAAGGAATTCTGTTTTTCAGCATGTCACCATTCTATTTCTGTGAGATGGGGGGCGGGGAGCAGAGGCATTACAACACCCACTTTACTGATGGGAAAACTGAGGCACAGAGGAGGCCAATGTCCTCCCCAATCCTAATGTTCGCTTCAGCTGCCACTTCTCTCTGCTTTCACAAGCCCCTTAATAATTAATTAGGAAATTATCCAGAGAGGATAGGGGTCCCTCCCAGGAAATGAGAAGGCCTGGTTTAACACATTTAGGCATCCCTAATGCTTGTGGCAAATAAGTGGAGATGGACTTGGAGTCATCCCAGTTCCCCAGCTTTCCACCACCTCTGAATTTCTAGTGACAAATATGTTTAGCACCACAAAATACCCTCAGGGGACGTCTTCATTTTAAGACCGATGAGGCCCAGCAATGCAAGCAAGGGGCCTATTCACAGAGATGGCTCTCTGCGTCCCTGACTCCAGCAATGACCATCAATCTACCAGGGACGCAAACGCCTGTCTGCGTTCCCCTGGACCCCAGTGGATTAGATGCTGTGGATACAGACACCAACCAGACAGGAAAACCCCACCTCCTAGGCCCTAGTGAGAGGTAACACTGATCAGGCAGGAGGCCAGAAGGACAGCAACATCTCAGGGAAGTACACTAAGGGTTCTGGAGGCGGTCTGGGCCAACCGGCCCGGTTCTGTCCCTCTAGCCCTGTGGGGTCACAGCTCAGCCCAGTGCCAGGCTGACCTCCTTCCCGTGGGCTTTGGCTAATCCCTGGCAGGGAAGTGTGCAGCTGCTGTGACATCCAGCAAGAAGGGTCTGTCAGAGACGAGAGAGGAGGGCCCGGGAGGACGGAGCAGGAAGATGATGGCTATAGACGTTTCTGTGCAGAACTTCAAAAGGACAGACAGTTTGCATATTAGAGTCACCTACCCCAAAAAAGGCCTGCCAAACTGCCCACGCAGAGATGCTCTGGTGCTCCAGGCAGCTCTCTGATTGGTGGCCCAGAAGGACATCGTAAGTCTTCGCCCAGGTGTTGCCCGGGACTTCCAGATACTCTCTTTCATTTGGACCCATAACCACCGCAAACACCCCCTAAGTTCTGCTAACTTTCCTCTGGTTTCCTTTCCCCTCCTGAGCAGCAGCCCTTTCTGCTGGCTCAGACGGCCAGCAGAAGCCTTTCTTTCCCTGGGAGACGCACGCAGCTAGCAAATTAATTGGCAGCAGCCAGGTGAATCACACAGGGACTTCCTTCTTGTTGCCCAGCAACCGCATGCACTTGGCAGTAGGACCTTAAACACAGAGGAAAGTGTTGGGAGGTACTTGAAAAATAAAATAAAAAGCAAAACATACAACACCCCAGACTCATCCCAGCACGGCCAACCCCGCCAAGGGGGGCTGGGATGGGGTGGAGACCAGGAGCAAAGGAAAATGAGGTTAGAACATTACCAGCCTAAGCAGAGCCGAACACCGCCCCCGCCCCACCACCCAAATTCCTCTAGGTATGGCATTTATATTTGGCCAAAGATAAGCCTCTATTAGCCTAGAGAAAGGCAACGGGGGCACATGGATTGACAGGCACCTGGAGGTTTGAGAGATCACCCAGAAACGCACAGCCCAGGGAGTTTATGAAGCTTGCTGAGGGGACACGGCTGCAGTTTATGTGTCCCCACTGGACACCATTGCCCAGGGTAAGCCACTCTGCCACCTCGAGGGCAGGATCCCCTTCTCCCAATCCCTTTCCGCTCCTTGAATGTTTTTGTGCTGGTTGCTATGGCCACTGGGAGCTGATTAGACAAGTCTCCCAACACACCGCACTGCCCTTCAGACCCTGTCTCTGGCCTCTTTGAAAACCCCGGGGACAGAAGTGAAATGCATGTGCATTCCATGTTTGGAACAGCCCAGGGAAGGAGCTGGCACAAGGGAAGGCAGAACAGTAGCAAGGAGGCTGCTGTGGTCAGCTGAGGACTAGCCCCCAAAGACAACCATGCCCTAATCCCTGTGACCTTGAATGAGACCTCCCATAGCAAAAGGGGCTGAGCAGGTCTAAGGCTCTGGAGTTCCGGAGGTTATCCTGGGTTACCTGGGTGGGCCCCAGATATGATCACAAGAGTGTTTTATAAGAGGGAGGCAGAGGGAGATCTGACCCAGGAGGGACCAGAGTGACGCAGGAGAGGAACCATGAGGCCAAGCCAGCAGGCGGACTCCCGAAGCTGGAAAAGGCAAGGGAATGGATTCTTCCCAGGAGAGCCCAGAAGCAACCAGCCTGTGGATACCGTGCTGTTAGCCCAGCGCTACTGGCCCCAGAGCTATGAAAGAATAAATTTGTGTCGCTTTAGGCCTCTAAATTTGTGGTACTTTTACAGCAGCCACAGGAAACCAATCTTGTTCAGGGCACGCCGGGTCTGTTTCCCCACAGAGCTGCAGACGGGGGCCTCGCAGCAGGGGTACCGGGAGCAATGGGACAGAGCTGGTCAGAAGGGGCAGGGTCCAGAATTAGGCTTACACTGTCCTACAGACACCCTACAGCCTCAGAAGGAAAAGGTCAGGTCTCTGAGAGCAACGGAGGCGAGAAGCAGCCCGGGCTTTGAAGTAGCTTTTTCATCACATCATTTGTGATTCTAACTTAGGCCAGTGGCTCAATCTCTGAAAGCTCCTGTTTCATCATCTGCAAAATAAAGATAATATTATCGGCCTTGCAAAGCCTTTAGGATTGAATGAGATACCACAGGAAAAGCACATGCCCCATGGCAGCGGCCAAATAAATGGTCACTGTTAGGAAGGTTCTCTTAGTTACTTACTCCAATATTGGTTCTCTCCTTTCTATGCAGAAACATAGCTCTGAATTTTGGTGGGCACACTGTGGCCCAGAGTAAGAAAGACTATGTTTCTCTGTCTCCCTAGCATCTAGCTATGGCTGTGTGACTAAGATCCGGCCAAAGAGATGCAAGCAAGGCTTGTGGGACTTCTGAGGAAGCTCTCCAAAAACTGTTGGGAAGAGTCTGTCTGTTCTCTATCTGCCTTTACCACCTTCTGCCTTCAGTGAGGATGTGATGGCTGGTGCTCTGGCAGCCACGTTGGACTATGAGGGACACTGAAAATGGGAGTACTACACTAAGATGATAGATGGAAGCCTGGGTCTCTAATACCCAGAACTGCCGCACTAGCTTTGGACAGCCTTTCTCCGGATTCTTGTTCTGTAAGAATATTCTTGTGTCTTAGTTAATAAGGCACTATTATTTTAGAGTTGGATAATAATCATAATAGATATACTATATAGATAGTATAGTATATCTATTAGATTATTAGATATAGTATATCTATTATGATTATTATCAAAATCTAGATCTCGATAATAATTATTATTATTACTAGATCTAGAAAAATAGGATTCTGAATCAATCTAGAGCAGTGGTCCTCAAAGTGCAGCCCAGCGTCGGCAGCACCGGGGCACTTGTTAGAAAGAAATGCAAATTCTCAGGCCCCACCCCAGATTTACTGAATCAAAAGCTCTGGGAGTGGAGTGCAGCAGTACGTGCTTTGACAAGCCCTCCAAGTGATCTTGTGCACATGCAAGGTTTCTCACCTCTGGCACTAGTGACATTTGGGGCTGGATCCCTCTTGGTCGGGGGTGGGGGGGGAGTCTGTCCTGTGAATTATAAGATGTTTAGCAGCATCGCTGGCCTGTATCCACTAGATGCCAGTAGCACCCCCTCTCAGAGTGGCCACCGGAAATGTCTCAGACATTGGTATATGTCCAAGGGGGGAAGCAAGGCAGCAAAATTGTCCCCAGTTAAGAAACGTTATCTCCGAGTAGCGGTTCATTCTTTTTTTTCTTTTTAATATATTTTATTGATTATGCCATTACAGTTGTCCCATTTCCCCCCCTTCATTCCCCTCCACCCTGCACACCCCTCCCCCACTATCCCCTCCCCCTTTAGTTTATGTCCATGTGTCACAAGTTCTTTAGATTCTATATTTCCCATACTATTCTTGCCCTGCCCCCTATTTTCTATCTACCGTCTATGCTACTTATCTTCTGTACCTTCTCCCCCCTTCTCCTCTTCCCACTCCCCTGTTGCTAACCCTCCATGTGTTCTCCATTTCTATGGTTCCACTCCTGATCTAGCTGTCCTCTTAGTTTGCTTGTGTTTTAGGTGTGGTTGTTAATAACTGAGTTTGCTGTCCCTTCACTATTCATATTTTTTATCTTCTTTTTCTTCTTGACCTTGACTGCACATCAGGATCATTGGGGAAGCTTTTCAGAATTCAAAAGCTTAGACCTTGCCGCAACCTGGTTAAATCAGCATCTACAAAGGTGGGATGAGGCAGCAGTTAAAGCTTCCAGGTGATTCCATGTGCAGCCAATGCTGAGAACCATCGCACGTTGCTGCTGGCCCGGGGGGAGAGCCTGCCACAAGCTGGGGAAGGTGGTAACCACCTGAACCCCAACTCCGGGAGGACACAAGATGCTCCCAAACTGAAACCATAAGGAGCATGGTGGGGGCAGGTTTGGGAAGGAACAGCTGGCTGCCAGAAGGGGTGCCTAGACTGGATGGAATTCCCGGTGGCTGCATCACCTGGCTTCCCATCAGAACAGGGTGGACCCCTTTCAGTGTCTCCCATGAAACACTACACACAGCCTCAGTTTCCTCCCCTGGTACGCAGAGCACACAAGGAGCCAGCTCCCACGAGATGCTGTAAACATTAGCTTACTCACCC